CATTTCTTTCTTCGGAGGTTCCTTATGTCGACGTAACAGCTCTTGATGCGTTGTTCGTCCTTGCCGACTTCGTCGTTGCTCCTGGTCTTCGAGCCGCTTGCTGGCACGAGACCTTGGTACCAAATCCTTTCTCCGGCATCCGAAGGGTCCCTGGGGAGTTTCCTTCTTGAAGTCATTTCTCCAACGTCGTGCCACTGTCGCGCGACGGGATGTCTTCCTGCAGTTAGCAGCCAGCTTCATCCGGGGTTCATGATCTCCTAGGGTCCAAGATTTCCTGAAGATGTTCCTCTTGCGCCATGCCACTCTTGCAGAGCGGGACACCCTCCTGCTGACGGCCAATTTATTCTGGGGTCCGCAATTTTCCCGTGTCGAATTCTTTATATTTCGTCGATGTAGGTCCCTGCGCCTTTTCTTCTTCGGTTCTCCGACCGGCATTACTTCGGCGTCTTGTACGGGTACCTCTTGTAATTCTGCCACCTCAGGTTTCCTGTTCGCTGAAGTCGGCTCTTCTTCTTCTGGACGTGCCTCCATTCCTTGGCAGGCCGTCGTCACTCCGACCGGTATCACCATGGGAACCTCTTCTTGTTGTGCCGTCGCAGGTTTCGTGCCCACTTGGCAGGCTGTCGTCTCTTCAAGCCAGGCATTGAAGTCGGCGTCTAATTTCGCCAGCAGGATATTTGTTTTTTCTTGACTGGATTCTAATTTCGCCAGGAAGTCTTCTCTGTCTTTTTTCCCCTCTTCCTTCTCTTTTCTCCTCTTTTCCTCCATCTCTTCTTTGTCTTGTTTTCGGTTGGCTTCCATTCTTGCCAGCATTTCCATCATTTGCTGCATCTCCATCTTGTCGCAGTAGAATACTCAATGCACAATAATTCAATTTGTGGCGTGTTTAAGTTCGTAAAAATTCTGACACCAAATTATCACGTGTTTTGAGTCCGAATCGCGTTGATCACGTGTGTAAGTCCTAATCCCACTTCTGACTACTTTGATGTACATTCATACCTCAAGACTATGACTTTTAGCAGCTCCTCCCCTCTTTATTCCCTCACTTCTCACAATAGAAAGGGAGGACGCTGCATTTGTCCCTGGTTCCCATGTTGCATTTCTGATACTTCCCAGATGGACTGGGTGCCCAAGTTAGCATTTATTCAGGGAAAGGGAGAACCTCAATACTACATAATTAATAACAGCAATAACAGTAACACAAAAATAATAATAAAAACTAAACACTTGCATTCATAAATCCAATATTCTTGCGCGCTCTTGTGCTCGACCATTTGTAGAGCACAGAAAAAATCACAAACAGAAAATACAACAAGGGTATACAAATAACAGGAACTGAGTGTTAGGCAACCTCTCCTCTAGAAATACATAACTACCTTATCATAACGTCATTGACTAGCCCTTTGGCAACTCAATATTTGGCGTTACTGATCAATACAAAACCATAATATTACATCTCAAACCAGCTCAACTAATGACATAACAAAAAACAAACTCCATGGCCTGTAGTCCGCAAGCGAACTATACCAACCGAGCAACCACTGCTTGTCGGCGAAGTTAGTGCCAACTTTAGCAGATAGAGGGTGTCACGTGGTCAGCGCAATGGATCCCCATGGCCGTTAATCTCGTTTTTCTAGACTAGAGCCGCTACTTTTCCATTCAAATAGCTCCTCAATTATTCTCACAAGGCTGAGTGGACCCCGTTCCAGACTCAGTGCTTCTCAGAAAATCTGGTAGCTCAACTAATGACATACATAAACAGAAAATAATATCTACGTAGTGTTGCTACCATTCAGAAGGGGCAATAAGAAAGCTCAAAGAAATCACAATATCCAAAAAAAGAACTTACATGACTGCTCTCATACAACAAGGCTATCACAGCCCAAATAGAATTTTGAATGTGCAGCCTGAACATAATTTCCACCTATCTCGGCCAACTGCTAAGCCACAGAAAGACCTAGACCTAGGTCTGCATACCAAGACAAAACTCTTAGTACATTTTAGAACTGCTGGAGGAAGGGGGGAGGAAAGGTCATGTGGTACCACCGGAATAGTGGGATTGCATGAAATACGTAGGAAGTTGTGGAATGGGTAGCTCAGAGGAGGGGGAGGATGGGAAAAGAGGATGCCCAATCATCCAAAACAGCCATAAGTAAACGGCTCACTTCCTGACCTATGATCCCTTTAAATTAACACCCCTGTGCTCTGAATTTATAGACTCAGGACTTGAAACTTGAATTGCAGACTTACACCATGTTGTAATGCTTTGGTGGCTTAAATTGTAACGCTTAAACATACTTGATAAGATAATAACTTAATTATTTTTATTTTTTAATTTTGGTGTTGTTTATTCCTTTCTACACTACCGAAAGAAAAAATGTGATTTTGTAGTTACTAGTATGTGAATAGTATACTGCTGTTTCTATGAGTGCATGACTGTAGAGACAGGGTATGGATTGATGAATGGAAGTATTGACCTCTTGTATGCACCATTTGTAACGACACTTTACAGATCACTGACACGCAGAGACTACTGTCCTCAGTCTATTGCAGTCTCCACTAGCCATTACCTGGCAACGGTTTCTACTGAGGGAGATTCTTCAGCTTCTCACACTCAGGTCCTCTTGTCACAGCCGCCCATGCAAAATTCTTGTCAACTGACAACTCAATTAACTGGGTCCCAGGCTGGCGGCCATTTCACACCAACCTCCTAGTCTACTCTTCACGGGCTGACTTAACTGACAACTGATCTCTCTCACTCACCAACCAGCTACTTCACGTCACTTCACTCAGCTGAACTGCTGGCAACACCAACTCTGGAACTTGGCTGACCCTGCTTATAACATTTCAGCATGAACTGTATAGGAAATACCATTTCCGTCATTATAGTTCAACAATGCCTCGACTGTTGCATGTGTATCCATTGCCACAGGAACCCATTTACTGAGCAGTTTCCTAGCAATAGCTTGGGTATTGTTGACATGTTTACTGGCCATTACCAAGCAACGCATGTTCCTTCTCATGATCATTGCATAGCATGCACGCTACAATATTTATCAGTAAATACATGATGCACTTATAATTATTTTGTGGAAAATTGATATGAATATTAATCTCATAGTTGCATTTCTATAACTAGATTACAGTTTGTACCCAGTTGTCTGTCATGGATTGTTCTGTTTGTGGATTATCTGTGCATCTCTTGAGGGCATTTGCAGCCCTCTGGAATGCTTGTTGTGTTTGCTCAGTCTGTCAGTCAGTGTGTATAAGTGATTACAACACTCGCAGCTAAGAAGGGAACACACATCACAAGACGCGGTTTACACAGAAAATAAGAAAAACGACCCCGTAGTGAACGAACCACATGCAAGTTTTAATTAAGACAAATAAGATGAATTATCTTAACAAGTTTTAGCGAGTGTAAATTTATCATAATTGACAAATACGGACTTTTTAAATACTTTTTAAATGGTGTTGTGAAAATATATGAGGGCAGGCACTGCAATAGATTGACGTAATTGGGACACCTGATGATGGCACTATGTTGCCGAAACATGTTGTGAAGTGACAGGTGAAATTGAGTGCACTACAAGACGGCCACTGTATACATATAATGGATGAAAATCAGTGCAACAGGACGCTAAAATATAACATTGTGTATAAAAAATCTCAAGAACTGCTAGATGGACTTGCATGAAACTCAGTACTGGAGAACTGTATGAAAAATCGTCAAGACATTTCAGATTTAATTTTGGTCAGACAATTTTAATGTCCACTTTATAAATAGAACTGTATATGTTTGTGCATATAATTGACATTCTCTACCAAAATTTTGGACCCTCCTAAAACTGCAGAAGCTGACCATTCAACTCCATCTAGTGCTGAGGTTAAGAATTGTGAAACTACACCTACAATCTCCCATACGTTTTCATAAGCATAGGGACAGGCGTAACTGCATGTGAAGCAGCCATGTTCCAGATACTTTCAAATTCACCATATGTAATCGTCCTCTCTATTTCATCAGTGCTAAATAACTTTCATTGTTGAGATGGCATCCATGAATAGTCTGTAACTAATTAACTCTTTGACTGGCGTGGGCGTGTTTTAACGCCCGGACGATGCCAGCCGTTCCCTGGCGTTGGCGTGTTTTAACGCTTTGACAATCTCTTCCCTTCTTTGTTCTCTTGGCACTCATCAACCAAAGACATATATATGATAGTTTTTGTGCATGTTTGTAAAGAACCCTTGTAAACTTTGTGGGGGTCTATATTACTGTCAGANAAGAAGAGAAATTACAGATTCAAAGATTTTATATTGGACTGTATAGAAAAATGACTGAACCAAACAAACAGGGTGGAGAGGGAGAAGAGTCAAGGAATGAAGTGGATGACGAATCTATTGCGTCAGACTCGAGTGCAGTCACGCCTCCGCCCTCGACCTTGAAAAGACCACCAGTGAAAGAGCCAGTAAATCGTCTAGAGGGTGGCTTGAAAATTCACAAAATGGTCCATGTTCCTCCCAGTAACGAGAAGAATGGTGCCCTGAGAAAGTGTCGCGTGAGTGCTAAGCACAAGATTAGAAAAGAAACAAGTATCATGTGTGCAGGCTGTGGTGTGGCTCTCTGCAAACTTTCATGTTTCAATGTTTATCACACGAAGAAAAACTAATAAAGAGGTATGGAAAGGCATTTATTGCATAAAATATTGTATTTTAATTAGTTCCTGAAAATTTTCGTTTTTAAAAACCAATTTGTGTTGAAGTTGTTTAGGAAAAAGTAACTACATGCATTTTAGCAACATAAGGTTTAAAGTGCCTGCTAGGACAGGGGTGGGATTTAAATACCCTTCGCGCCAGTCAAAGAGTTAACTAACCATGAAAGCATGCACAGAGTAGTGATATGTAAGGTACATACTTCTTCCTGTGATATTCAGTTTTGTCATTAGGTGTATGGGAAAGATTACATATTGCAGTAACCATGAATTTAGATGGAGTTTTGTGTAGGACATTGATTCTGAATTTTTTTGTATCAGTGTATATTAATACCAGCCTAAAAATAAGCTGCTTTCTCTTCTTCTGTCTTTCAAGCTCAGGCTTACAAGACCATTTTGTCTTCAATTCAGTGTTTATATGGTGTAAGGTAAGGAAAGCCTTCCCTCTGCTTATTAAGCAATGTGCCATGAAAACATGTGGAGGAGTGGAGGTATAGCTCCATGATCTTTTAATAAATTTTCTTTCCTGTGGATGGTAGTAGGAAGTAACATTGTGTTCAGAGTACTAGTGTGAAAGCTGAATGTCCTCAGACATTTCTTAAAATTGTGTTTCTAATCTAAAAGTAAAGTAAAGCTATCCGTGTAACAGGTCGTGAAGCCCCATAGGGTTGTGAGACAAGGGTCCCACATTATCTAGACAATTGGCTCACAGATGGTGGTAAGGATATCAGCCTCATGCACTGGCCACACTTTACTCCTCAGGAAGATTATTTAATTAATTCCTGATAATCATTTCTGTTAGAGGCTGAGTTGACCCCTTCATAATTTCTGATTATTTTAATTCGGGTTTAGTTTTAACATAAGCTGAGGACTTCAGAATGATGTGTCCATTTACATTATTTGTCAAATATAAGTATGTTGTTACTTTATAGTTTAGGCTTATTTTCCACCTTTACGAAGACACTACCTTCATGAGAATAGTTGATTTGCATCATTTCTGAGTTTTCATTTCTTTGAACTTTATATGAGGATTATTCGGAAAGTAACCTCTGGTGAGCTGTTAACAAAACAAGGAATGAGAAAAAAATTATATACAAAAAATATGTACATACTTAAGGTGCACCTCAACATAATCATTGCCAGAATTGAGCCACTTGTCATATCTGGGAATAAGTGTTTGTATGCCTGTGTCAAAGAAGTCTGCTGCCTGTGAGCTCAGCCACGTTTTGACACCTTCCATCATCTCCTCATTACTGTTGAAGCACTGTGATTGCAACCAGTTCTTCAGGTAGGCAAACAGGTGGTAGTTGCTCAGAGCTGTAAGGAGGGTGGTCAAATATTTCCGTTGAAATTCTCCAGCAGTGATGGAGTGCGAGCAGCTGTATATGGAGGAGCACTACATTGGCCGTGAGCATTCCATGCCCTTTATTCTGAATGGCTCTATACAGTGTTTTTTAGTGTTTTGCAATACACTTGTGACAATGTGGTCCCTAGTTGCATGAAATTCACCGTCAGCACTTCTTTCCTGTCTCAGGAAACAGTTGCCACTAGCTTTCTGGCAGCAAACAGCATAGTTTAAACCTTTTTTGGCTTGTTTGGTGAATATGTGTGCATCGATTGCTTACACTGCTCTTTGGTTTCAGCATTCACAAATGAAACCCAGGTTTCATCACCTGTTACTTCTATGATGTGATTAAGAAATTCTTCATCTATGTGGTAAAAAAGTAAAGTAAAGCTATCCCTGTAACAGGGCGTGGAGGGCCATAGGGTTGTGAGATATTGAAGGTCCCACATTTTCTAGACCGTCAGCTCAAAGATGGCGGTAAGGTTGTCAGCCTTATGCGCCAGCCGCGCTTTACTCCCCAGGAAAATTATTTAATTAATTCCTGGTACTCATTTCTGTTAGAGGCTGAGTCGACCCCAGGGCCATAGTGTGGCTGGAAGGATTAGGTCAATTGATAAAAATCCAATGACCTCAGTGGGACTTGAACCCGTGACCTTCCGGCTTGTAGCATAGTGCCTCAACCAACTACACTACCGCGTGTCCCATCTATGTGGTATTGCTCTAAAAACTCAGAGCCGTTCTCTGCGTTTTGAGTATTTTCGGAACGAATCTTGTGCAAAACTTGTTACAGCCTGGCCTAAGTATGATGATCTTGTAGAACACAGTGAGTGAAATGTGTGAAAATTTATACAAGAGTGATGGAATTGTGAAACACTGTCTTTCACAAATTTTTTTGTCAACACTTTGAACAAGATCCATCTTTCATTACAGATGGCTGACCACTTTGCTCTTCATCGTGAACATTTATTCCCCCATCTTTGAACGTTATACACCCTCATGTAAGATTTGAGGTTTTTATGGTGGTGACTATGAAGAAAGCAGTCTTCTGGGATGTGGCACCGTGTAGATGTGGTGTTAACCGACGTTTCGGAGGAACATATCGCCTCTGTCTTCAGGGTAGGAGGAAAAATAAAATACGCAAGCGAAGAGACAGTGAGAACCGGTGCAAGCAGTCTGCAGTCTCACTGCCTCTTTCCTTGCGGATTTTCTTATTTTCCTTCTACCCTGAAGGTGGAGGCGATACATTCCTCCGAAACGTCGGTTAACACCACATCTACATGGTGACATCCCAGAAGACTGCTTTCTTCATTATACACCCTTGTGTTGCACTTCCTTCACTCTTTACGTTTTGGCTATAAACTGCAAGTTACCCTGTTTACCAAAGCATATATCTTCACATTGCAGAATGCTACAATCCTAATACTTGTACTTGTAGCTACGAGAACCTAAAATCTCATTTCTGGAACATTCTGAAAGAAAAACACTCAAGTATACAGTGAAAAATCATTACAAAGCTATTGCTCATACTTATACAGAAGATGCCATTATTATCCTGAAGATACCAGCTCTGCAGTTTTGTGTAGAGAAATTGTCTTTTTAAATTTCTGGACTATAATCAAAATCTTTTGAACAATTTTGAGAAAACTTTTTTTCTGGGTAATCTGAAGAGCCACATTTTTTTTTTTGGAACCAGAATGTCATATTCCATGGGCACCAACCTGTGAAGGATACACTTAATACAGTGCATAAAGTCTGTACAACCGTTCAGGTAGCAGCAAGAGCTCGATTTTACTACATATATGATAAAATTAAAGATATTCCTCTGCTAACCTTAGACTAATAGAAAGAATCTTTGATTATGAAGATATGTAACTTAAATAAGTTCCCGCTGATAAAAAGATTTCTTATTGTGCATTAACATTAATATATATACATAGAAGGCCGCGCCATAGCTCAAGCGGTTAGTCGCTGGCTTACCACTGCGGCGGCCCGGGTCTGGTCAAGTGGGATTTGTGGTGGACAAAGTGGCGCTGGGGAAAGTTTTCTCCGAGTACTTCGGTTTCCCCTGCCAATCTTCATTTCACCTATCATCTGGGTCTGGTACAATAGGCCAGAAGTGGCCGCAGTGCAAAGGACTTAGTCCCAACCCACTAGCAATAAAAATAATTAACACATAAAGAAAACCACAAAACACTGGGTTCTGCAAAAGCCATGATAATCATGCTCTTTGGCATGAGGTCTAGATGATATGAGGGATCAGCGGGATGAGTCCACACTTTCACAAGAGCTTGCAATTATTCTGCTGTGACACTAGTCCAGCGCTCAGCTGTTTTGCACAGTCGATGCAAGTAGCTATGCCATCTGGCGAGTGCTTTCTGGTTTAAGGAAGACTTTTTGGAGGGATTGTTTGTTCCCAGTGTTCAGCACGGATTACTTTTTTGATAATGGTGTCGAATTGAATTACTGTTTTGATAATGGTGTTGAATTGATTCAGTGGGACTTTTAGTTTAGGAAGAGGACGTTATTTCACTTAAAGCAGAACTGCAACGTAAGTAGAAATACGAATTTTGTGTAATTCTTATGGCGAAATTAGTATGCATTCTGTACGATGAAACATACGAGCTCAACATAACTTCTAATTATGATATTACTGGAGATTATTTTAAGTACAAGTCATGAACTCCGTAAAGTTTGTGTTAACGTTCTGCACACGTTGGCAGTGTTTATGCGAGTGCTTGAGCCTCTCATATGTCGAAGCAAAACCTTAATATTGTTTGAACTCCTGTACCAGTTTTCGTGAAACTTCGTATGTAGCCACCTGAGTCCATCTCAACGACATAACCCATAAATATCTCACACCACTAATACCAAAATCACAGTCTTTCAAATTGTTGAAGTAGTAACCTTAATATTACTTGAATGCCTGAACCGATCGTCCTTAAACTTGATAGTACTATTATCATGCCTCACGAAGACCTCTCAAGCCTTACTTCAGAAGCTCTTCCTGTCGCCAATGCAAACATTATAACTTCCCATTTTTTTAGATAATAACCTTAATATTATTTGAACGCCTGAACCGATCGTCATCAAACATCGCATGATTATCATGCCACCTGCCGCATGAACGACGTAAACCCTACTCATCAGTAATACCAACATTGAAACATCTCAAATTGTTGAGGCAAAACTTCAATCTTACTTGAACGCCGGCCGCGCCATAGCTCAAGCGGTTAGTCGCTGGCTTCCCACCGCGGTTCAATCCCAGGTCTGGTCAGGTGGGATTTGTGGTGGACAGAGTGGCGCTGGGGTAGGTTTTTCTCCTCGTACATCGGATTCCACTGCCAATCTTCATTCCACCAAATTCTCCATCAACATAATCACCCGGGGCAGGTACAATAGGCCAATCAGTGTCCGCCGTGCCGAGTGGACCCAACTGGACTCCACCCCCCACTATGCGAATTTAATTTTTGCTTGAACGCCTGTATCAGGCGAACATGCATACTAAGTTACATGGAGACTGATTGGAGTGATTTATGAAGTAAGTTAATGTAAATGCATTTCATTAGACACTACCATGCAATGAAAAAGGTGCACAATACCAAGGGGTGCAAGGGATGGTGACGCGTCTCGCAAAGCCTCTCCTGCCCTATAGCCATCCTCACATTTCCGGGGTACATCCTGTTCTCGCGGAAGAGGCTCTGGCAATAATTTTACCACTTAAAATTGTTTTAATACATGAGCAATTCAGGTTGTATGAAATTGGGTTTATATTATTTTTATTGATTTACGCCTACACAATAGATTTTCTGCCCATTTGTGTCATACTCTGTAGTGGAAGGAAAATAGGTGATTAGTTCTTCCCAGAACATTTTGCTATTTGTGCTCCTTTGACTGTTTTCACGAATTATTTTACCAGTGGCGCTTTTTTTGGCACAGAATCTGAGAATTTCTTGTTGATAATTGTGACAAAGATTTTGAGATGTCTAAAGTTACCCTGGAATAATCAACATCTTTATATGGATCGAAAGGTGCAAATCTTGTTATTGAAGATAATGTCTGGAGAAAGTTCAACTGTTATAATGGTGAGGGGGACATGTATTTAGTCTTGCACCGGCCCTGGGTACCGGTACGATCTGCACCATACAAGCAACAAACTTCATCGTTTCTCACCAACAACAAAAATGTATTGCAAGCCAGAAGTGATTCAAACTTTTGGTTAAGTACAGATTCTGTTAGTTTAAGCTGTGTTGCTGAAAATCTGTGATTCATTTGTATGGGTTGTACGAGTATGTCGAACGTTAATCCTTTCCTATACGAAAGAATCCTCCAGAACATTACATCAGAACCTGCAGTCAGTGTTGCCATTCTCTGTGGTATTCATCAGACTTGACCGCCTCTGTGGTCTAGTGGTCAGAGTTCCTGGCTACAGATCCAGAGATCCCGGGTTCGATTCCCGGCGGTCAGATTTTCTGAGAAATATTGGGCCTTGATGGGGTGCCCACTCAGCCTCGTGAGGATAACTGAGGAGCTATTTAAAGGAAATGGCGGCTCCGGTCTAGAAAACCAAGATTAACGGCCGTGGGGATCCGTTGCGCTGACCACGTGACACCTTCTATCCGCAAAATTTGGCACTAACTTCGCCGACAAGCGGCGGTCGCTCGATCGGTTTAGTTCGTTTGCGGACTACAGGCCACGGAGTTTGTTTTTATTTAGCAAACTTACTAGTGCTATGTACTTTCAATCCATCAACGAACTTTCAAGAAATATCGTCATTTGTCTGAATTCAGTGAACTGTAAAAGTGGAATTAATGTGGAAACTGTTCAAGTGGATTGCACATACTGAATTTCGTAAGCTTTCCTTTAGTGTAAGATTTGAGGCTTTCACGGCGGTGACTATGAAGAAAGCAGTCTTTTGGGATTTGGCACCATGTATAAGTGCTTTCTTTCCTGTAGTGGTTCGTTATTAATTTCTATTAAAGAGCAGCTTTATAGTTATTTTGTGCTGCAGCCATAACATTTAGCGTTATACGGAAAGATTTTTTAACAGAAATTACTTATTTTGCGCTAATATTGCCAGACTAAATTCTAGGACTGTACATTATACTCGTACTATGGCGTTAGTACTGTTCTAACCGCAGAATCGAATCCATATCTCATGCAGCCAGATGCCTGCTAGTTGAGTTCTTTGCTCATGAGTTCGTGGGAACCAGGGACGGAAGTCTATCTCAGGTTTGACATGGACAGGCTTTAGAGAAAGCTGAGAACAGCAGCAGCTCGAGACATGTACTCCCTGATCAGGGCTGGCGAAGAGTCCAATGCCGCCCCACGCGGCGAGAAGAAGTACCTCCCAAACCCCCTCAGTTGAAACAGCTCAACGTTATCAAAACTTCATCACAGTAACATGAATTTGCAGGTACTGACGAAACCCTTCATTAGGTACGTAATTTTTAAAGTAATTATAATTATAATGTTGCATAACATGTTTAGATTACTGTCAATTAATTGTCATGAAAGATATACATACATTAATAACATTGAGTTAAAAGTAACGTTTCAGAGACCTCGTTGGTCTCTATTTTTAATGTAATTTATTCAGTTATGTTGTTATATAAACAGCGACTAGATGTATGTGGCTTATGACGGTAGTTACAAAACGATACTGGCATTTAACAAACAGGAAGTTCTGGGAAGAACTGATCGCCTACTTGCTTTGATACGATACGGACCGCATAGCAAACGACTCGTCCAACAATTCTGTTGTTGCGTGTTTATTCATTACCGCGGTAACATTTTTGCCGAGCCGTTGTCTAGCAACGATATGGGGATACACATGCAGACACACAGACTGGTGGGAGGGATTTACGAGTATGAAGTACGCCGTTGAGATGAGCTCAGGTGCTATGATACACATACCAGTTTTCATAAAGATTGCTTCAGGCATTCAAAACTTTGGGGGGAGGGGGCTGGAACACACAGACAGCATGGTGATCTCATAAGCCTTCTTTCATATTTATTTAAAAAAGTAAGGAAAGTAGTATGAAAAGCGGAAGAAATAGGGTTGAATGTTGTTGGTCTGTGTTGCCGAGATAGCCCATCTCCTGATTTCCCAGTTATGGCGGAGGGATCACAATCATTCCATCACGAGATCCTGTAGTCTCTTACGAAGCTACTCCGTTTATGGCAGATGTATGACGCAACACAATTCGCGCTTACACAGGCATACCATCTTGTTCAATTAATTCTGTTTAAATGGAATGCCACTTATACCAGCAATCTCTGTTCTGATTGGCCTATTCTACAAATATATGGCATGCCTTGAGCCCAGAAGCTTGTATGTTATGCAATAGATTCCATTAAGTAATTGGCTTGTATATAGGACAATTGATCTCTCACAAAACAGGCCTGATCCGTACTAGTAAGGGCAAACTTACATTAACTGATATTAATTTTATGAACATTGTTTTCGTAAGTTTAATCCATGAGATACGTTGCTTTTCGTAAGTGTAGGAAGTTGGGTCTCTCAGTCGGTATAGTAACTTGACTAAGGACTGGAGTACCAAGGAATAGGGGTTCGATTCCTGACAGACGCAAGAGCTTTTTCTCTTTTCTACAGCTTAGTTGACCACTATGGAGTCGTATGGGAGAATGACTGCACGGATATGAGTGGTCAGTTTCACGTTCTGGCCGCTTTACCTCCGGGGAAAGAACCCCCGGTATCCATTCAGTGGGAGGCAGGATGGGCTCCAGTTCGGTCTGGGGCTGTGGAGAAGAAAAAAATCGTTTCTTCTACCGAGATCTGATCCCCATTTCCTCGGTCGTCCAGCCTATAGCCTGGTCACTATATCGACTGAGCTACCCGGCTCCGTATAGCCCTATTTAATATAAAGTAATATCCTTATTTTGATTATAACATTGATTTGTTTGAACCGTTTAAATTAGCCATTTTGAAAGAAATGTTACCCACCAGTTCTTTAAACCACAAAAAAGCGGCGAATATGAACGAATATTATTTCAACTAATACGCACAATATCGCGACAAACCCAGTGAAGGATAAGAACCCGCTATATATTTCTCTTAATGCCGTCCTTTCCTGTAAGTTAGCTCATTTTATGTCGTTTGTTCGTCGGACATGGGTTGTCTTTTCCCACATCCCAATGTCAACTCCCCAAAGAATTCCTCCTCTCTACTAGCCTCAATAAATCAGCATTTCGCGAACAGATGCGGCTCGAATTGTAATATAACGCCCACTGCCGGGAGTTTCAGGCGCCAATGCGATTCCTAGATACTTCTGGAGTCTTCTGAGAACGGTATTGCGACGCATCCGAAGTAGGTGCGATATTAAAAATGTTTCAAAGAACATAGTTGAACATAGTGTATAGTTATGTAAGTTTTAAGGTTTTCACGGCGATTACTATGACGAAAGTCGTCTTCTGGGATCTGGCGCCATGTATTCTTTGTTTCAGCCGGCGTTTCGGAGGAACGTATCGCCTCCATCTTCAGGGCAGGTGAAAAGCGTTGCGAATACAGAATACATTACTACTACTACT